TTACACTGGGAACTTGAAGGAATAAAATAGTAATAATACTTCAAAATTATGTAATTTAGAAGATTTACTGTTCAACTAAAGTGTTAATACATGTGATCTGAAATTTGCCACTATTTTATAAAATCTTTGCACTGTTAGCAATCTCATCACTCCTTGAACATCTTTCCATCTAGACTCATCTAACATGTTCTAATTAGTTATAAATATTCATAGGACTAAAATAAAAATGTCTTGGTAACGTTCACTCTTTAAATATACAAAAACAAAATAGCGTTTACATCTGCGTCAATAATACATGTCTTTCGTAGCAAGTGAAACGTGAATTTACGCAAACGAACCGACTTGGAATTTTAATACGTGTGTTTATGAGACTGATGTCGTATGATTAACTGAAGTATCAATCCGTCTATATATGATAACACAAATGCCTATTTTAGTGTAAGTTAAATATACATTATCAAAATTTAGTTCTCCGACAAAATCAAATTTTGTTTTTAAATTTAAAATATTTTACCGAACAATATAAAACATATTTCAGTCGAAGTCTATACTAGAATTACACCTTAACTTTTTTTTTTTTTAACAATTTCGCTTTATTCCAGAAACAGTACTTGTGGTACAGTGTGGAATTTTCAGCACATATCTACAATATTGCATCTAATTTCATCGTACATTTTAAAAGGAGTATTATAAAAAAAAACCAAAAAAAAGAAACACAGAAATAACCAAAAAAAAATGCAAATAAAAATACTGAGTAGAAAAAAAGAAGATCAACACAAATAATGAAAAAAAATATTTCAGTATTAGTTAGTGGAAGCTACGATATGTGTATGCCTGGTGAACAGTAACAGCTATAATCATACGGGAAATTATGAGATGTTCTTAAAAAAAAATGTTTATAGCCAAGATGATCAGTTAATTTGATTGAACAACACTAAGCAATCATAAGATAAACATTTCAGGTTTTTTTTTGTCAGTACTAATGCGGTTGTTTGTAGTGGCAGTGTGAGGAATCATGCATAATACAAAAATTTTAAGATGGTGATAGTGGCAATAACAAACAAGATTGTCAATTAAATAGTGCCGAACAAAGAACAACCACAAAACTAATGTTACATGATGGTTAATGACGGGACCATTTTTAATAATCATAGTGATAACATACTCGGACCCAGTAGATATACAAAAGAAGGAATAGAGTAAAGAATAAAAATGTAAGCCAATGATAATAATTTTAAGCAGCTAAGTATGTTTAAGAAGGTTGTTCACTATAGAGTACAAATAAGAGAGTGTAAGGGGGAAAAAACAAGGGCCAAAATTATGTTATTAACAACAAAGCAAGTCATAGGTTTCACGCCTAACATTGTCTCTGTTCCTTAGAACACGGGCCAAATATGGTATCGTTGAGTTCCTATACTTGGTTGTGCGAGCATATATTATTTTATATTACAGAATTTACTTGTGGAAAGTCTGAGAATGAATAGAAATATTCAAAACAGAATGAGACCTTGAATCTGTCATTATAAATGAAATCAGATGATTATTTTTCGAGAAAGTGATCAATCAACCATGGAAAGTGATGGCTGCATTAATCAGTACCACTCTGCGCTTTTTAGAAACAATATACCAATATCAGTAATTTTGTATGTCTTCACAATTCATAAGCTTGATTTTTGCTTGTGTGAAGGTTTTTAGATGTTCAATGTCAAATTAACGATAAGGCTTTCGACTCAAAAACTGTGAACTCAATGAAATTATTTTCGGATGAAATATGAATACCTTCACTGCAAAACCTCAGTAACTTCTGGAGAACAACATTTTTGTTCACTCCGTCACAAAAATGGTGAATGAAACAGGTCACCCAGTAATAGTGTAATCGAAATTCTTTCCGCATAACCGACATTAATTCAAAGTTAAATTGCACACAAAAATTTATAATCCGGAGATTCGAAAGCGAAATATTTATTGTGAATTAAATATTTTTTAAGTGGATACGGAACTCTGTCTTTCTGATGACTCCAAATATTAATTCTACTTATCGGTTGTTTTTTTAAATTTTACTGAGATTCGATATGGTGACTACATCAAGAAATTATCCAATTCGGTTATCTAAAGTGGATATCTTGTGAACTGTCTACATTGGAAGAACGAACTCATTCGTTATGAAGCAACTGAAATTCAACGAAATATTCCTATTGACAGTGACCTTTGGAGTTATTATCTATACGTCACAATTATTTCATATCTGATACAACGTTTGGAAAACAGGAAGAAAGGCAAACATCAAATTTTCTGAACATGTACCGAAACGTCTACTACTCTAGGCAACAATTGCTTTCAGCAATGCCATTTTCGTGCAACATCTTGACAAGAGTCATGAGGTGGACATCACGAAATCCTTTAAAACTATCAGTAGACAAAATAGCTCAGTACTCCTCAAGTCTGCTCAAGCAATCTCTATCAAGCGCCCAAAACCCAGTTTATGTGTTCAGAAAGAAGCAGTTATCCATCATCCGTTGTCTTGGTGAATGGATGTATTTATTATCTCTTTCGTTTGATTACGTCATCCTCGTTTTTTACTCCTTGTCCTTATTACGTAACTGCTTTACCATTGTACTAATACATTCACTTTTCTTAGTTAAGAGTTGAACATTTTGTCAACTTACCTAATGTGAAAATTTGAAGTATGGAGAAATTGTTTCTGTACTTAAACTTAATAACGCCTTTGGGCTGTAAGCTGCTGATGAGAATCCACTGAAATAAATGATGGTACAATCTTATTCTTCAGAAACCGTTGTTTTCGATCTATTCAAATACATAAATAGCAAGAAATGTATGAGTATTTTCGTCAACGGGTTGGTCCGGTAGAAGTTTTTCTCAATTCCTGCGTTTTTTATCAGCGTTTTGTGTGAATCAGAAATTAGGCAATGTAACTGAGTGGGTTATGCAGCATACAGACACTCGAAATAAGGTATTCTAGTTCATTGTTATCGAATGCGGATGGTAGGCGAAGCTTCTTTCTTGCTACTGGCCTATTTTCACGACTGAAACCCTCCTTGAAAAATAAATTGATGCAAATCACTGGATAAGGCTATGACAGTAATCAAAGATGAAACAAATTCATTGAAATAGGCAATTCCCATTTCCACAGATTCGCTTACAGACTAAAACATTAAGCGTAAGGGTCACTATAACAAACAAAAGGCAGCCAATGAGGCAAGAAAAAAGCATATTGAAAACAGTATTAGGTGAAACACATCTAAAAGGTTCTAGAAGGGAATAATCGAAAGACAGGTTCGAAGTGATTGAAATTAGTCTGTAGCTAACTCTCTTGACTATGCATGATTATTCTCACTTTCTGGAAAATTTATATTACTCATACACCTTCACTTATTTTCGCGACTGGCTGACAATAGCCACTGGCTTCTGTTGTCAGTGCCGTTGTAATAGTGAATAATTGTACAGCTTGGAAGTGAATTCACGGAAATATATTTCTTTTCTGAAATACGTGTTCTGAATTAAATGTCATGCCAATTTCGCATATCTTCAAAGTAATTACAAATCAGACGAAGTGAATGTTGTCCTACATACCCTCTTAATGCCCAAACGGTATTTCAACAATCCAGGTTGCTTGTATGTGTGGTCACATATACGTAAGGAGGACTCATTGATCTATGCAAATTAGAACAAATTTCTAGTTGACTGCAAGAAGAAATAAAATCTACCGCTTTAGTTAACCCTGGAGACAGATGCCTATTGTCATCTATTTCACGGCACATCATAGAGAAGGGTCAAGTAACTGGTTGGTGCCTTTAAACCCATTTATAAAAATGTTAGCATCATGTACTTCATTTCAGTGAAGCTCTAGTTACTGAAAGGCTCAGACCTGTTTTCTTTGTGTTTTCGAAAGTAAACCAGACTTTGCAATCTAATTTCAGAACCAAGGCTCATTACTTTTATCAGTATTTTCACCACCGTTCCTTTTCTTACCTCATCTGCTACCTACTGTCTGGAACTTTGAAACGTACACATTAGAACCATAATCATGAGAACTCTGGTCTCCAGTGATCCATCGCCTTTATATAAATATATATATATATATATATGTGACAGGCACGCGTGTGGTCAGTATCCTAAAAGTGTTATGCAAATAAATTACGTGCTTCAGGTAAATTATGCCTTCTAATTGTTTTGCTGAAACTGATAAAGCCAACTAATCACTGTAAATATAAGCAAAAGCTATCAGAAAATAGAAAACGCTCCTTCACTGTTACGCAGTCGAACTTATCTGTAGTACAAGATAGCTTGAAGGAGAACTAATTTCCGTCTTCAAACAATGAGTGATGGTGAGTAATACCTCCCCGCATGAATCTCTAATTAAGGAAGAATCATTCTCGAATTTAACTAAACTATTATTAAACATGAGTTTAGCATTATAGACAATAAGGTTACTTACAGTGTCCATCGCACATGACAGACATTTATCAAGGGGCCATTAACGGACTACTGGATAATTTACTGACTAACAACCATTCAGAATGAAACCTTTCTTAAAGTCAAATAAGTTCTCAACACTCGAATGCAGAATTGACTAAAGCTAATTGATAAATATAACTAAATAAATCCTGTAATCTCTTTCTAAACCATGTTGCAGAAATCTAGTATAGACTGGAAAATTGAATGCTGTTGGTCGTTTTATGGAAAACTGTAGAGTAGACAAGTCAAATTCCTACTCACAGAAAGCAGACTACAGTCTCATGATTTATTGTACTTTGAAGCTATTATACAAACTGCGTCATTGAAACAAATTTTAAAGTACATATGAACGAACACGTGCTTTGTGCATAGCCATGCACACGGATATATACGCAAGCAATAATTTAGTTCGAAAATGATTGTAAATTCAAGCACACTATCACGTATAACAACTTTATCAGCTGATGTCTATATAAGTAGAAGAAATATATATATATAAATGAACTAACTTATTTAGAAATAAAATGTCCTTCAACATATTAAGAGTTCTTTCGGTTATTCTGTGTGTGATAACATGTTCATCGTCGTGGAATAGTAAGTGTTTCTTAAATCACTTTGCTTCAACGGGATATTCATCATTGACAAATGCATGAAATTTGACAGTGTGACTTTATTTATGCTGAGTGGGTGACCAATGAACTTTGGTTTGTTTGCTTTCAGGTGTTTGCTTTTACAAAGAGGATGAAGGCCCATGTAAAGCCATCAATATAAGATTCTATTATAATGCTACTCTTGGTTCATGTGTTCAGTTCACCTATGGTGGATGTTATGGTAACGAAAATAATTTCCAATCAGAAGAAGAATGTAAACAAAAGTGTCAAAGCAGGTATTTGCAATTCACGTATAATTATCTTTAAAAGCGTTCCAAGTTAGTTTCACTTATTTCAATAATTAATCTGATGCTAGCTGGCGACTGACTCTATATAGGCAGCTAACCTGGAGTTATAGTGGGAAGCCGTAACCAGTAGGGTACAGCAGGTCAAAGATGAGGCAGTAACTCATCGAATAAGATATTGAGAAGTGGTCACGCTATGTCACGAATTGACAGAAGTTAGTTTCAATAATGTTTTAACAGGTCAACACATGGCGTTTGTAACTGATTCATTGTTATACTCCCAACATCTAATAAAAGTTAATTTCCTCTCATCTTGTATGCTCTCCGAAGGTTTCTGTCAAAACTGAAAAAGTCTCTTGAAATCTGATAGCAGTCAAATGATGTGCAAAAACGTTTCCTTTCCAACTGTTCTCCGTTTTTGTTCAGGAGTAGTTATTTGTGGATCTAATTGGTAAAGATGAATGAAAAACGTAATATTCAGGTAAAACTACTGAAAACATGTAATTCATTATTTGCATCTGGTGCACTTCATGAGCATGTGAATGCAGACAATCAATATTCGCAAAATGTCAAAGCTCTGCTCCATTTGATAATCAGAAGTATTAAGTCCAATCTATGATTATTTATGAAATACTTTCAAATGACACAACACTTATTTACTCATAATCTGTCTTGATTTCTAATAGATAAGCGCGACATTGAACTCATTCAAAATTTATTTATTATTTTGTTTCAGTGGCAAATTTAACAGAAGTAAGTTATTACCAGTAGGAACGTTATGATTATTTAAAGTCACACATGTTATTTTTGTCAGTACTTTCAATACCGTCAGTGTTTACGTTGTTAATGTTATTAGTCTGACTACGGCCTCTGTTGTTCGGAGCATTCTTTGTCTACTATATATTTGAAATTATTAAGTACATAACAGATGGTGCAAAACGATTGTCCACTAATGTCTTTGTAATTCATTTTCTCCAGATGTGCTAATATTGAACCGCTTATGAATTTTATTGCATTTCTCATCGGTTCATAGATAAGTGTTAATGGCATCACCGTGTCAGTAAAACTGATTCGCACGAAATTAAATGATGATCCACTAATATTGAAATAAACAGTTTAACTTTAGGATTTATCTCCACATGTAAATTCCATGACTGACAGAACTTCACTGGGATGAAATACTATCGTTCTAATAAATGACAAACGTATCAACACTCATGAACATATCACCAATCTAATCACTTGTTTGAAGCTTTTACTGCTAAACTGGAAATTTACATTCATGGTAGAGTTAGTTATCAGTTATTTAAGGAATTTAAATTGACCTCAAACGTTTTCGATCACCCACTTATTTTTCACTTTGCTGATATTTTCCATTATCAGAAGATTGGTGAACAGTAACGTTAAGACTGTGGATTTAAGGATCCTTTATTATCATTTTGGCATTTTTGTCCATTGGTTCTCGATTGTTCAGTGTCTTTTGAATTTTTCACTGTGTTATAGTTCTATTCATCACTTGACATATCATTTATCTTTTCTGTGTCATCTCCCGTGAATAACAGAACTACTTCTCTACTTTCATTCGGCAACGTAATTATCATCATTTTTCAGGTATCACTTTATTAAGTAACTGTCCCCCTCTCTTAGGATATATGTTCAGTCAAGATTCTTGCCTTCATACTGATAACAGTTGATCAGGCTGGATTTAAGGCATCCTAAGCAGTAGAACGAAATTAGGCTCTCTATTTAACTATAAAGCCGTCATGAATGAATGCAAGTGTTTAAATGATTGACGTTATTGTGCAAGCCACAAAATCTTGAAGCATTAGTTATACTTTATGTTATACAGTACTGTAACAGCTGTGTGCAAATACTCAGATCCGCTAGTAGGCTTCTAACTTCTGGCTTTATTCGAATTCCACGAACCAATACAGTGTGTTTTCTATTTTGCATTTCTAATGAATCGTCAATTAAAGGTCATGTTAATACTTGAAATAATGCATTGAATCCAAGCAACACGTTTATCAAAATAAGTATCTTGACGAACTTCACATTTGACATGTGCATTTCAACTAGTTAAATCTGACTACGTGCTTTTCTTTCAGATTCAATGAAATACTCGAATGCATTACTCGAACAGAATGCGTTTTTCTGTAGTGAATTTATTTAGAAATATCATTCGTGTTCTAAATGCATCAGTTATAGGTTTTAATAGAATAAATAACACAAGTACTGGGGGTGTGAAATTAACATTTTCCCATTACTGTTTGCCTAACTATGTGAGCGCCCTCTAGTGGTTTATTGCTTCATACTATATTACACTAATATAATGCTTTGTAAATATTTGAATCCTTTCAGGTAACTGCAAACTGAGCCCTGATCCAGGTCCATGTCGTGGCTATTTCGACCGTTTCTTCTATAATTCGACTTCAGGAAAATGTGATAAATTTAAATTTGGCGGTTGTCTGGGCAATGAAAATAAATTTTGGGATAACGAAGAATGTCAAGCGAAATGTGGATCAGAGTAGGTATCTTGATACCAATTGCATATCAGGAAGATACCCTTATCTGACATGATAAATACTGGGTTTCACTTCATCCCCATAGTAAATATGATCTGAATATAATTAACTGCTGTCGAGTATTAACTTGACACTGTTGGTAAACAGTGTTTAATAAATAGCCTGAAAGAGATGATAATTTAAGTCTCCACTAGCATGAAAAATAGAACGCTTCACAAGTCAAGGGAGTGATCATTTAAAATCTTTGCTTTATTGTTTAAGCAACAAATAATAACGGACTCACTTTCGACTGTTATCAAACCGTTACTAAAAAAATTCACTGTTTTCTTAGATAACAATTACTTTATGAAATGTATAGTATGTAATGCCTAAAGTATACACTACAACACTAAAAAAATATGTCGTATGACAAATGTTTTTATCCTAAGAACAATTTACATGTATGTATACTGTATCCACACTATGAAGACTCGCGTGGCTAATTAGCAGATTCACCGAAACAATGTAAAAGAAACTGTCATGAAATGTTACTTCTATAAGTACATTAGACCAGGATGCTGTATAGTGACAGAGTGATACTTTCAGAAATATGCTGCCAAACTTAGGCAAATAAAAGATCGAATCCTATGAAATCTGTCTGGCAATATGAAATGTTCGGAATTCATTTTAATTTGAATAGATATACATATAAGATGCAAAACAGAACTACTACTAATTTTATCATCCCGTGAACAAAAATATCTAAATAATGAACCTCAGTGATGTTTCCTCAACGTTTCATCTCCTGAATTTCAGTTTTGGCCGATAAATAAAATATTCTTTAAGCACGATGATTTTCCTGTACATGCAATTAAATGGTTTCAAAAGAAAAGTAATGAAAGTAAGAACAGTCCATCGATATGTTATGTTATGCTGTAACGACAGAATACAAGGGCCAGGCAACAGATCGTTCATTGAGAAAATCATGGAATATTTGTCAATTTCTATGTACACTATTATTATTCGTAATTTTTAGCAGAAAATTAGCGTCTTTTGATTGGTTGTTTCCTTGCTGAAGTTCATTCCGTCATCTGTTTGTCACTGTTTATCAGATAGCCCGGTGATATATCTTCGAATCGTATTTGCACACGTTAACTCTGCTGTGATTGGTTGTTGGGTTCCTCAAGGTTAGTCTTTGTCCTTGTTTTCTCTCATGACCTCGATTCGGGACGTAAACATTGATCGAAAATTGCCTTATTATCTTCAGATGATTTCAACTCATATCTCAGTGCTTACTAAACATTTTGCCAAACTGGTATACGCTAAACTCAAAATGAAATTCGTATTCAAATATCGACAACAGGATCAGTAACAAAATACAGTGAATTCGAATAATTTGTTACTTTTATTTTAATGTTAACCACAAGATTATGTGAAAATGATATTAACTTTTTTCAAACGGTATCCTACTAAGCAAACATATTTTGAATTTAATTTAACAGACTTGCTCGAGCATGGACTATACAACGTAAGTTAAATGTAGAATACAAAAGTGATGAAAATTCAAAGTTGTAAAAATATATTTGAATTATAAAACAAAAATATAAAAACTCAGGGAGATATTTTGACCAATAACATTCTTGTAACTTCTACCAGACTGCAGACTGAATTAAATCAGTCAAAGAATGGACAAACTACATTAGTTACTAAGTAGAGTTCAATCACTTATCCAATGAAGTCCTACAGAAGGTCAGTCGTGAGCCCGAATTAGTCAGTGGTAACGTCAGCAACTGCAGAACTGGTTGAAACAGATTTGACTGTCAAAGTGATAAAAATGCCTTCAACGTTGTAGATATGCATTGCTGACGAATGTCAAGTAGACTTTATCCTAATTCCAAGGCGTCCTACTGATTCCGTTAACAACCTAATATCAATATTTCAAAGTAACTCGGGATGGCAAGCCACCAAAAAAGGGGACAACGTTGCGGGAATCATCAATATATATCAGTCTGCACCAAACGAAATATCCAAACATCTAATAAAGCAAATAAAATTATTTAAAAAAAGTAAAAAAGATGAATATATACGAAAAACCAAAAATAACATAAAACCAAAAATAACATAAAATAATTCAATGATATTTGAAAATGATTTTATCAAATATTCCTTAGCGAGGGCATTCCGTGAGTTCAACATCTGATGCACATTTTCATAAAAACACTACCTAAAAAAGCTTTGAAATGGCAAGCGAATCCAATAATATTTCAATACATTTTTCATTCTACAAACTGCAGATGATGCACTCAGCGTGTTCATCTATTCCACGGTATATATGAAATGCAGTTCAGGGGCCAGGTTGTCGTAGAATTGTCTTTTGTCCTTCCTAGCACTCTTCTTCACTTCTTTGTCCAGTGCTGTGTACGTTGAGCTCAGCGTCTCTTTCTCTTGCCCGTCTTTGCATTGAATCATTTTCTTTTTCACCATTCTCCTCTCCTCTTTAGGTTCCAAGTGTCCATTGAGAGCCATTCCTTGTCTTGTCTCTTCTTTCTTCCTAAAACCGTTGAACACGTTTTGTTGAAAATCCCCTTCAGAGAGTTCGAATGGTCTTCCACGCATGATCCCTCAGTGATGTCACGTAGTGTTTCCTGCTTTGCTCTGACAGTTGCAGTGAGAGTGTCCTTTGTGATTGTGTCCTACAGTAATTGAGTGTTGAACTTGCATTGTGACCTATCTCGAGCTACCCTCAAGGATTTTAGCTCCACCTTGAAAGTCCCTAGTACTAGATCGTGGTCTGAACCCACATCTGCTCCTCTTCTCGATCTTGTGTCCAGTATGTTCCGTCTCCACTTTTTTGTACGAACATTCCACGTCCCCATCCTTCTCTTTGCTTTCATCGAAAGAAGGCATATCGGCTGGCTGGCTTCCCGAAGGCTTTCACCAGTCTGCATCATTTCACTTCCCCGATTCCAGCGAAAAATAAGGTTACTGTTTATATTTTTAGAATTTTAAATATATTGGTGCATTGAAGTTTCTGTAAAGGTTCGGTTGAGATTTGGGGGTGGAGTTGCCAGCACCACGCCCAAAACTGCCCTCTTTATCCAGGCTAGGGACTGGATAGAAAACTAGCAATCTAGTAGTCTAGGCGAGGTCTCCTAAGTGCATGTTTCCTTCATTTTGTGTTATGTGCTTCTTGGTGTTCATTTTTATCTATGTTTGCATTTCAAATGGAAATTAAAACAATATTTAACAATCCGCTGTTGACAATAGACAACAAGTTCATGGTTAATAATCACGAAATGAGACACCTGATGCGATAACAAAAGCATTAATTAGCTCATGTCAATCCATACAACTACGACTAATGAGTTCATTATCGCATGCACGTTTTTTTTATAAAAACACTACCTCAACAAATTTACAATGTCAAACGAATCCATTGTTATTTGAATACACTTATATTTTATATTGCCTAGCCGATGCACCCAGTGAGTTAATATATTCCTCGTTTATATCTGAAAATGACTTCACTCAGCTTGTGAATCCAGTAACCCGATAGATATCAATCCATATCAGAAGTGGAGTTAGACGTTGTTTGTGCATAGGAATAAATAACTACAGATAGATATCATGCAACTACACCTGACGCGATCCTCGAAGTTGAGCGAGAGTTGTGTCACACTAGCCTCTGTTCCCTTTTCTGAACTCCCTGTGTGGAATCTGAGATATCATCACCGTGTGTGGCTCTAGATTTCATCAAATGTCACTGTGTCATAAATAGTCCTCAATTTGCTTACCACTCGCCTGACGTTAATTTATAACCTCAAAATGTATCCGTTTGGCCAACTTTTACACACTCAATGCATCTCTCTGTTTCCGACTCTTTCTGAGATGCGACAATTCCATGCTTTCAACCATTCTGAAATTCGCGTCAACATTGTGTTAACAAAGCTCAGTCAAAACATATTAGTATTCACCATCACTATGAAATGATGTTGTTTCAGACCACTAAAGCACTATGACAGCAGTCCATTCTAGGTTCTCTTTTCGGCCTATCTGTGGAATCATTGTTTTGGTGGTTGACATTGTGATCAGTACGTTGCTTTCGTGCCTCCAATGACCTGTTGGCTCACCTCACTTGTTCAATCAGGATAGAAATCTAAGACAATGATGAACATGGTGGGATTTACTCCTTCCTCATCCTTCCCAAAATAAACTGTCTGAATCAACGTACTTTCGACTGCTCTTTTCAAGTATGCTAACTAGTTATCGTAATGCTCTTAATTATTCATTATTATTGTTTCTTTGTGTTCCTAGTGGAACATAGTGCTTCAACTGCATACCTGCACTTGTTTCTGTCTTCTGCATCCATGTTGCTCCATTCTGCTTCAACTTCTCTTCACACGACCTCCTCCATGTCACCCTTGGACGTCGCACACGCCACTTCCCCTTCGAGTTCCACTCGAAGGCTTGACGCGCGATGTCATCCAGCGGTCTCCTCAGCGAGTGTCCGATCCATCTCCACTTTCTCCTGCATATTTGTTAAGCGATTGGTTCTTGCTTTGTTTGTTCCCATAGTTTCTTGATGGTGATTCTTTCCGGCTCGGCCATCTGATCTTCAGTATAGAGCGAATACAGTTGTTGATAAATGTCTGCAACAGGCTGTTGGAAACATTCTTTGTGACCCGTCCGCCAAGTTTCTGATCCGTATAGAAGAACTGACTTTACGTTTGTATTGAAAATGCGACTGAATTTTGTTGTTGATGCTGAGTGACGAAGATTTCCAGATTGGTTTCAGATTGGTGAATGTGTTTCTCGCCTTCCCGATTCTCGCTCGATTTGACATCCTCGTCCGTTCCTCCTGTAGTTGAGACAATGCTCCCTAGATAAGTGAATGAATGAAGTAACCTCTTTCAAATCCCTCCCGTTGATGGTGATTGACGTTGGATGTTGCTGTTGTTGGTTGGTTGTTTTCATAACATCCGTCTTGTCTATGTTCACTTGGAGTCTTGTCTTCGCTCCTTCTTTGACCAATTTGTTGGTTTTCGCTCGTAAATCTTCCATTTTGTGCAATATCAAGCATAAATCATCCGCGAAATCCAGGTCTTCTAGGTTCCTCACGTCGGTCCAGGATATCCCTGTCTTCTCGTTTCCCACAGTCTGTCGCATAATCCAGTCCACCACAATTAGGAATATCATTGGTGGTAATAAGCACCCTTGTCTGACTCCTGTGTTTACTCCAAACGCCTTGCTGAGTTTTCCGTTGTGAATCACTTGACATGTTCCGTTGTCGTACAGCTGATGAATAAGGTTGATGAATATTTGGGGTACGCCGTAGTACTTACTCGAGTAGTTTCCAAATTACTTCGCCGTCAACGCTGTTAAAGGCCTTCTCGAAGTCTATAAAGTTGAGGTAAAGGTTTGATTGCCATTTCATGCTTTGTTCGATGATGATGCGTAGAGTTGCAATTTGGTCAGAACATGATTTGCCTTTCCAGAATCCAGCTTGTTCTGGTCGGAGTTCTGTATCCAGTGCGTCCTTTATTCTCTCCGGGATGATGCGACTCAGGATTTTACTTGGCGTCGACAGGAGCATGATTCCTCGCCAGTTCTCGCAGAGTCCTAGGTCGCCCTTCTTTGGTAGTTTCACGAGGTAACCTTTCCTCCAGTTAGTTGGCACCTGGAATGTCCCTAGTACTAGATCGTGGTCTGAACCCACATCTGCTCCTCTTCTCGATCTTGTGTCCAGTATGTTCCGTCTCCACTTTTTTGAAATTGAGATGAAGCCTCTCTGGTTTTTGGTGTGTCCATCTGATGAAATCTATGTCGCCTTGTGTATATCCTTGTGTTTGTACACACTACCACCGATCACCAAATCATTGAAGGCGCAGAAGTCTGAGAAGAGTTCACCATTGTCGTTCTTTTCCCCGAGGACCTCACGACCCATGGAGGGTTCTCTTCCTGTATTGTCTCCTCCCAGCTTCGCATTCATGTCGCCCACCAGGATTTTGATGTTGCCATTTCGGACGTTGTCCATTATTGTTGGTATTTGTCTGTAGAACGCCTCCTTCTTTTCTTGTTCTGAGACGTTTGTAGGCGCATAGCATTGGATGATTGTAACCTTCCTTCCTTTTGAGTTGAACCTGGCTGTCATTATCCTGGAGGAGATTGGTTCCCACTGCATGAGAGCTTTGGCTGCTGTTGGTGACATCATGATGGCCACTCCCTCGGTGTGCTCATGGTTGTCTTCTGGGTGACCGGAATAGATTATTGTCTCTCCAGTTGGCAGTTGCTACCTACCACAACCGTTTCATCTACTCTGGCAGATTCCCAGTACTTCTATTCCATACCTCCCCATTTCCGCTGCTACCTGGGCAGCCTTTAAAGGTTCGTAAATTGTGCGAACATTCCACGTCCCCATCCTTCTCTTTGCTTTCATCGAAAGAAGGCATATCGGCTGGCTGGCTTCCCGAAGGCTTTCACCAGTCTGCATCATTTCACTTCCCCGATTCCAGCGAAAAATAAGGTTACTGTTTATATTTTTAGAATTTTAAATATATTGGTGCATTGAAGTTTCTGTAAAGGTTCGGTTGAGTTTTGGGGGTGGAGTTGCCAGCACCACGCCCAAAACTGCCCTCTTTATCCAGGCTAGGGACTGGATAGAAAACTAGCAATCTAGTAGTCTAGGCGAGGTCTCCTAAGTGCATGTTTCCTTCATTTTGTGTTATGTGCTTCTTGGTGTTCATTTTTATCTATGTTTGCATTTCAAATGGAAATTAAAACAATATTTAACAATCCGCTGTTGACAATAGACAACAAGTTCATGGTTAATAATCACGAAATGAGACACCTGATGCGATAACAAAAGCATTAATTAGCTCATGTCAATCCATACAACTACGACTAATGAGTTCATTATCGCATGCACGTTTTTTTTATAAAAACACTACCTCAACAAATTTACAATGTCAAACGAATCCATTGTTATTTGAATACACTTATATTTTATATTGCCTAGCCGATGCACCCAGTGAGTTAATATATTCCTCGTTTATATCTGAAAATGACTTCACTCAGCTTGTGAATCCAGTAATCCGATAGATATCAATCCATATCAGAAATTGAATGAGAATTTTTTTGTAGAATTATTTATATATCCACTTGTATATATCATACTAATTTAAATGGTTTTTCACGGAAAATTTGGATATATTTTTTCAGCCTTTTTATGTTTTCATATTTCTTACATTTTCTGTTTGATGATTTTAATTTTTCTCTCGGTTTTTTTCCATATTTTTTCCTGTTACTTGCCAGTTTTTGTTTGATGTTATTTTCGACCTTAAACTTTTGATAGAGGTTGTGTCATCATATTTTATATCTTTTTGTGTAGTTTTATTTTTAGGTTTTCTTCTTAATTTCCATTCTTTGACGACATTGCTTACAATTTCCTTGGGTTTCTTATACATATTTTTGTTCATTTTCGTCTTAATAGAAGAAGTTATTTCCACTGCCTTTTCCACTGTATTTTTTTTTAATATTTAGACACTTCATTAGGGAGTTAGATATGGTTTGACAGTTTGCATTTTACACTCCTATTTTATTTTCGAAATTCTGAATGAAAGCAGCGAATATCAAGGCAAATATCATAACAATAAACTGTTATTGTTTCAACCCAATTAATATGGATAACTCAAAATAGTATATTCCTCTTATTATAGAATACCTTTATGCTGTGTTTTATCAAGGCAGCCTCATGTATCACAATGTATACCATTGAACAGTTTTGATCAAACAAATCCTCCAGTTGATATAAAACCTCCTACTGCCCATAATTATTACCCACTTATGAATATTTTCACTAGATATGGACTTTTACTAGATTTCATTCAGAAGCACTTTTCCATGTTAATTTCAATAAACTTTAAAATGTAACTAAAGGCAATTCAGTAATGATGTACTATGATGTTCAGTGCATGTTCATAGATACATCAGCTTCGCAGTTCAGATAACATTTTGTTGTTTATTCTTACCCTTATTGGATATTTTCTGTTCATTTTCAGGTGACTTCATTTGTCGTTATATTCGCGGGCATTTGTGTTTTACTCGCTGCTTTGAAACTTTTCCTGTAGCTGGATTGGGAATAAATGTTCAAATGAAGTATACATCACGTGGAAGTATTTAATACATAAATGTATTTAACTCAAATTTTGTTTCTAGTTGTTAATTTATGACGTTTATTTCTTAGATATCCCGTAGTATTATGACAGATTTCAAATAAAGGTTTACAGTAGTAGTTTTAGTTTTTCTGGCTTAGAATGGTCGCAAATTTCACTCCTCTATGATTCTTTTAACTGAGAGCCTTCTAACTACCTCAATGCGCAAAACCCCTAATTCATTATAAATCGATAAAAGTTATGTGCATTGCGGCCATCTGTAACATGTAACAAAAACTCCATAAACCTTATCTAAAAATGTATGTTTACCGATTTGTTTACTGCCGTAATATAGTCGTACAGGTACTAATTCCAAACACACGATTTCTCAGTTTAACACAACTACATTTTATTAGCTGTTCACCTGATGTAGTAATCGGCTTTGTGACTTGTGCTAACCTTCGTAATGGAACTACACAGACTGCGCGTTAAGTATCCTGAGTAAATGCAGTCTTTCTGGAGCAAAAGAAACAAAGTCCTACCTCTATAACTTTCGACCACCTTTCCCGTGGAAAAGGGACTAAAATAGAGAACATCAGTAGGACACATGACCTCGTCCACAAACTACACAATTCACCTCAGCTCATTATCTCCCTACTATCGTCTCTCTTACTACTTGTCAGCAGTTCTACACGTGTGCTCATTTAGGTGCTTTTGTTTGGCATACACAAACTCTGTCAACTTCACAGGAGTTACGAAGATACAATACATCATTGTTAATTTGAATAACAATAAACGTTTCGATGAGTAAGCTTTCGTCTCCACGTAATGTAGTCAAATGTGTTTTTACGAATGGAATTCCCTAAAAATGTGTAGCTGTTTCGAAGTGTACGTTACAAGCTGACGGGATATCTTACCATCACATTTCCATGTCAAGAAGATGTTTTCAGCATAAACAACCTACTTGAATCTACGGGATGTTGATAAGCATTAAATGACTATTGCAGGTCACTGAAAGTCGGAATTTAGTTTATTCCATTTCATATGGAGTCTGGGAAAGACCGAAGTACGACTGTCATTAAACCGAGAAGTTTAGGGGTCAGCTGTAGAGCAACTATTTTGTCAAACTCTTCTGAACTTAAAATTGCCTCAACACATTTGAGAGTTGCATAGTAGTGCATATCACTCTTTACCGATACTTGAAGTGATTTGAATACAACTACTACTGTCAATCAATTTGTAGTGTATTGCTTTATGCTTGGGGTATTGATCATCAATTTTGTCATCAAGCAGATCCCATATTCACATCTGTAAATTTCATTCACACAATCAACTATGGTGCAATCTCGACTCGAACTCTGTAGAGTGCAAAAAGTGATCTTGATTCACCTCCTGTACGCTAACATATTGCCCTTAATTCTGAAACTTTTGAGTGGAGTACAGACTGTACAAACTGAAGTTGGTGAAAAACCAGATCCAGAAATTCTTGATGAAGATACATACATATGAATATACATACCACTACTGCCAACATCTGTGTGTGATTTTAAAGCTCACTGATATTGATTTCTTGTTTACGAGATTAGTTACTAAATTTTGTTTGTATTTACACATATAACCTCTAATGTGGTGAAGTCTGTATAGGGTGAGTAATTAGTCAACTTAAAAGATGCATGACTCAGCACCTTTCTTCATGGTTTGGAAAACACCAAACAGAATCTCTAAGAAGACCGATTTTGTCTCATATGATTGACAGTGGTCACTATGTGGATAGAAGAAGCCCATTCTTTGATTTCTGTTGTATTCAGGCCATATATGTGTAGATGAAGTTACAGGAATTAGGTAAAATAACCCCAGACTTTACATACCACAAACAATTGTTGTGCTTTAGCTTTATTATCGTTCTAGACAAATTAAATAGTTATCTATATTCTTAAACTCCATCTGCTAAATCTTAAGTGATAGGATATTGAGTAAGAATTTTCCTCTCATTCGATGGCTTAGGTTGTCTAATTAGACCTTGATAAGTCACGAGCCTATCTGAATGTGCAAAGTAGTGAAAAATCACTAAGAAAACGTATGGGATGCATATAAACATCTGAGACATCCAAGAGTCTACATAGGATTCTTCTTCCCACTGAAAAATTATTTTAGGAATTCACTTATGCCCACATTTACTACCTTTAAACTCCATGACAAAATATATCAACAAACAGAAGGTGTAGCAATACGACTATCAATTTCCCAATAGTAGCAGATATCCTTGTGGATAGCTGGGAAAAAGTACCTCTTAATACATTTAGTGGATGACACTTTCACAGTGTTAAACACAGAATTTATCTCTAACATCTTCACACATATAAAGTCACTTTTTGAATCAATAAAATTCACATTTGAATCGGAAAATGAACAAGGAGAATTAGGTATGTTAGACTATTAAGAGTACTGCGTTGGAGCCCCATGGGAACATCATCACTCATTGGTGAATCCAGGTACATCGATCTGACAAGTCCCGAAAATGACGAAATGTGCATTCTTGATTCCACTGCTAGTCACCATTCGCCAATTAACTTCAAGGCACATGGCCAGACATCGTTGAAGCATCTGCACAAGGAGCCGACATGTCAACCTTAGACCGAGTACTTCGGTCCAATCAATCGACGGGAAAATTTTAATTGAATCAAATAACTTTTTCTCTACTTCAATTAAATGTAACTTAACTAGTTTTCAATTTGCCACTTACTATCACACTATATTGGACTTTGTGTGCCTCCTGATTACAACTCATTCATCAAACTATTCATCCAGTTATGTAGCTACATCACACTTACTCAACTTCTCTTTTTTGTTGATTAATATTAACAACTATGTTTATTACAGTTCATCTCCTTCATACCTATTCCCTTTTACCAGACACGTTGTAATATTAATGCTACGGTTTAGTCGAGGAAATTGAAATTTCTTGAAAGGGCTCCCTCAGAAAGCTACTCGTTCAGTGTTTTGAATATGGATTGTTCATGAAATACAAAGTAGTGTACAGTCAATCAAATCAATGGATTCCTGTGAAAGTCTGTCACACTTGTTGTAGGAAACATGAAAATTAATTGTTTTGATTGTCGTGTCAGTAACTATGAGAATCTGAAATGATTCTGGAAGGTAATAAGATGAAATCATATTTTTTAAATCCTATACATTCCCTGTGTAACATAGGGCTTCATGTTAGAGGCTCACAGTTTCGGTAGCATTGGTGTTTACTTTTTACGGCACGGGGTTGCTAGCCTCATTACCAACCTTCCCCTCTTACCAGTCTTATTTCCTGCTTAGCGAGGTAAAGGAGTGCGTCGGTTGGGGATCGAACCCCGGACCATATGCGTGATTGGCGAGCATTCTACTGCTGTGCCAGTGACGCACGAAACCATTTATATCCAAATACAAAGTCACGCTGACGCTATTTATCGACACATTTTAAAACTCCAGCGGAATAGTTATCAGAGATTTTCTGCTTCATACGACTTGTTACTCAGTAAGCGACAGGTAGTCATAATCTGTTATACCCCAACTGAGTAAGGGTCCCAGATCATTCAAACCTCATAGTAAATTCGTTGATGTCCCACATGGTTTGTGTTTGCTTTCTCCTCTCCTACAATTTAATCTAATTTGCAGTGTGAAGTCTTGTCCATGGGTCTAACCGATCTACCCCTATGTAACAAGATATATTGATTGTTCAACGCGTATCCCAACCAAAAGTGTTCAGGAGCACTATTCTGCACGGTTGCAAAAAGTTAACAGCTGCTCCAGATGGAGTGTAACAGTCAAGCATCCTTTTCGACACTACCTACTCCGTCTAAACAAATTCCTTCTTTAGGTTAACCTAAAAAGCGGAGATCAGCCTGTCAAGGACAATATACTTTCTGCTGTTCTGCACTGCTGAAGCTCTAACAATCCAGGTAGAGGAATGAAAGCTGTACATTCACATGAGAATCCTTCAATCCCTTTTACAACAGTTGTGAAGACTCAGCTTTTTACAGACAATCTGTTTTTTGTCTATTTAAGTCTAACCAACTCTTTCACTCTTTCAAATGACGATGTAATATTTTTACATATGCATCTTGATTATTATTCCCCATAAATGCCAAACTATAATTACGCAAACATAGACTAAATCTCCAATATTTATATTCATTAGGAAGAAAACAAACGTCTCACTGGGAAAATTTAAGTAAACAAAGACGCTCAGATAAATTCCCTCACCGGATATAATTTCTTAAAAACTATATATATATATATATATATATATATATATACGACTGTACTGCTTGATAATGACTTCGTTGAAAAGTCTCTTCTTTGAATCACTTGTTTTGATTTTCTACATATCACAATGGGAATTTTCCATGAAATATTTAAGCACAGGTTCAGAAAGTATTCAGAAGTTGAGAAGTGACTCAGCACAAAATAGAAAAATGAGTGATAGAATTTGATCTGATCTGATCCAGTTTATATTTATTCTCACAGATTGAACTTATAAACATAGTTGTGAGAAGGACTGTACACATACGGCTACAATAAATTCAGTTATCGCATCTAACGCTTTTAATTCCAATTCAGATATTATTAAAGGAAAACAAGTGATTCGTCGAAGGAATATCTTCTAACAAATCATATATATATATATATATATATACATATATAAAGCTCCTCCTGCACCCGATTTTGTAAACGCCTTGGGTGAACTGTAGTGAAGTTCTTCACAGAGTTTTACAACGATGAAGATAAACTTAACTTTTGTGAAGTGCATAACAATATAACTGTGCACTTTTTAGATGGTGAAATTACAGATATTATACATGACTTTTGCTCAAAAAGATTCATTTAGGAATATAGATAACTTCCGAGTACAATCTAAAGTATAATGTACTGCTCACCGTTTCTTCTTCTCACTAGTCTATAATGCCTACTTGCTTCACTAATGACCGTGTCGTATACTTTGGATATTTGTAGGAAACTTTTACCCTCATCCGAAGACAAT